TGGACATGAGCAAGAACACGTTTTTCCCTATATAATAAATAGAAACATGCTAGGCCCCGTCCATGGAAAATCAGTAGGAATACGAACAAATGGCTAATAAAAAATTTCCAATGACGAAACCATACACAGAAGCACAACAGCCTACTAGTAATTAACTAAACTTGTACGTTTGGTACACCTCCTCCACAAATTTTCGCTGGTTTGAATCTTGGCTGAAACTGACTGAAAAATACTGTTCTGGCTGAATTGTTATGAGAGAAAAACACTGTCTCGGCTGGAAAAACAAACCGAACAAGCTGAATATGGGGTAAGCCGAACGGGCCTAAGAACTTGGTCACATGCTTGTGACAATGTACAGTGCTACAGGAGGAGAATCAACCGCTTATGCAAGGCATGCGGCAATAATGCAATTAAAATATGTTCATCCCCACACACACACACATATATATATATATATATATATATATAAATATCCAGAAGGATAAGACCGAATGCGTCAGAGAATAGCGTAAAAGAAATATACAGTAACTCTACTGTAGCCAGGATAATTATTGAAACACACATATCAGTCCACGCATAAAGATCTACCGGGATTGAGCAACAACGATATCCACGCGTGCCATTCTTTATTAATTTAGTACAGTAGTAGACAAAGTCGCGTGCTTGTTCGTTTAATATGTAACAAGTCCAACAAGAAGCTAGCTAGCGAGAAGCAAGGGAAGAGCAAGCATGGCCGCCTACTGTCTCCCCACGCTTTGCACTGCCCAGAAACCATACTTACGTGCCTCTCGCCGCTCCGGCCAAATAACCATCAGCACGGCAGCGGCATGTCGTCGCGGCGCGAGTCGCATTGAGGCCGCCGCCGGAGATTGCACAAAGCATTCTGCTTGGACCAGCATCCGACAAAGAACGGTGGGAAGGAGACTTGGCCGTAGAAGGACGCATCCCTGCATGGCTGGTACGTACACGTACTTATATATTTATACAGCAGCAGCTGTGAGAAAGATCGTTAACATTCGTCACACATATATCTATGATTGGCAATTTATCATACAGTCTAGTCACTCGTACGTGCTCCTCCACGGGCGAGGATTCTAGAAGAAATACCTGTTAGAAGTTCATGTTTACTAAAACAACGATTTCAAGAGACACAAGGCTTTTTTCTATAGAGACAGGTCAATATACAGCCGCCTCTATAGTGGCCTCTAAAACGAGCTGTCTAAAAATCAATTTTTTAGGGCGACCGTTGAAAATAGTAGCCTCTACAAATGCCTCTATTTTTAGAGGAGGCTCTCTTTCTAATCGTCTCTAGAGATTGATTTTTAGAGACGGCTCCTGTCTCTTAGAATTGATTTCTAACGGCCTCTAAAAATAGAAGGTGCATATTAAATTTAAATTTTTTAATGACCTCGGATGAAAAAACGATCAAAATGAAAGTTGTAGATCTTGAAAAGTTACGCAACTTTGTAGTTGACAATTTTTTCATTATAATCATCTATGCATGAAACATAACATTTGAATTTATCACATTTGAAATTTCAATTTTTCAAACGATCTCATATGGAGAATCGATCAAAACAAAAGCTGTGGATTTTGAAAACCTAAACAACTTTGTTGTTGATAACTTTTTTATTTGAAACCATCTATCAAAGGAAAATTATGTTTGAATTTTCTCACATCTAAAATTCAAAATTTTCGAACATTCTGGATGGAGAAACAAATAAAATGAATTGTAGATCTCGAAAAGTTATGCAACTTTGTACTTGACAGCTTTTTTATTGAAATCATCTATATATGAAAAATTACATTTGAATTTCTCACATTTGAGATTCAAATTATTCAAACGACGTTGGATGGAGAAACGACCAAAACCAAAGTTGTAGATATCAAAAAAATTATAAAACTTTGTAGTTAACAACTTTTTCATTCGAATTCGTTTAAGGTCTCAAATACTAATTTCAAAACTGGACGAGGATAAAATGAGGTGACAAATATACCAATTGGACACACATATCCTATGGGTGGAGTGGTTAGGAGAGGCTGGGTAGTGTCTCCTCGGGTTTATTTTTTCTTTGTTCTTTTTGCTATTTTTTTGACTCGGATTTTAGTATTTCTGGACAATGAAAAATATAGCCTCGTCTACAAATCGATTTCTAGAGATGGCTCCTGTTCTCATACGCCTCTAGAAATCCCATTTTTAGAGGCGGCTGGACATCCGCCTCTACAAATCAATGGTTGGGGCAGCTATCTCTATAGAGGCTTTCCAGCCGCCTCTCTGCTGTGAAAATTTGTAGTAGTGACAAATTAAATGAAACTACTTTTCTTTGCACTCCTTGTTTTAGTTAATTTTCTAACACATTGTAACCTATATCATGTTGTGATAAACTGTCAATTAATAAATCTATTTAATTTGTTTTCTCCATCATTATCGGAAGTTGTCCTTCCTCTACATGATATCTCCATGTGGTTTTAATATGCATTTAGTCCAAACATTAGCTTAAATTCTAAATTCTATTGGATCTTGTTTTAGCCCATGTCTAATGACATTATAAATCTATACCTTTACTTTTTAGGATGAAACCAGATGCTTACCATATGTGTGTTGAGAAAGTCAAATCACACATACAATGATAAAGTAATGTACGCACATGCATTTATTATATACACCCCCTTTGTCCTATAACATAAGAAATCCTAATAATTTTCAGACAAAATAAAGAATCTGACAAAAGACCACCTTGCCCCTAACTAATTAGAATGGAGACATAGTTCTGTTGTTATTTTCCTTAATTAATGTTAGTTGTTATAGTTGATACTAAGTTTCAATGGAATCTCTATATTTCTGGCTGAGAAAGAGAGGAGGAGGTCGAGGGTCTAGAGTACCTTGTACTTCACATAGCGGAAGGAAACTCAAAGGCATCACCATCTGGTCTCATTCATGATTTTATTGAATATAAAACTAGTGTTAGTATACATATATTTAACAATTATAACATGAGTCGTCATGTGAAGGCGCAAAAGATTATACACGGTTGAATTGTGGTAAGCAATCTAGTTGCACACGTTTGATTTACTTAAACATGAGTAACTAGATTATGCTTGAGGCCCAAGTATATAAGTAACTAAAGATATCAACTTTTAAGCTAAACCATCCGTAGCACCAACATGACCGAGAGCACAACCGTTAAAACAGTTTAAAACAGAGACGAGTTCCACCTGTGGTAACAGCAAGCAGAGTCCACTTTATACGTAACAGGGACACATAGCACCAAATTATAGGTTTCTGATGTACAAATGTGTGTCTTCAAGTACACAAAAAGTTATAGAATAGTTCACATATGTTGGAATCGAGTCACTCTAACTCTTGATGGACAGAGGTAGAAGATGAACAATAGACGTAGACTTGCGGGTGATGAACACCGCAGCGACGAACGCATGTATCTTGGCTTCTATTATTCAAACACATGACTCGGAACAACTCACGCAACGCATACACACGGCTATAAGAAGCCTGGCTTACATGCATGAGCAGCAAAACTGCTTGGCCGTGTCTTCATGGGCACACACGCATCCACGATCTCTAGTGCGAGTACATGAGCCGCTCACTCTTGCACACCTAGTCATCGCCTTCAATTCCGGTGGCAAGCTATGCACGCTGCAACGTCCTCCACTACTTATGCATGCAAGCAGTTCCTATTCTACCGCTACAAGCTGCAACAAACGCAGATTCTAAATAGCTAATTAGCCTAGTGACGTGCAACACATGCACGACCTATTACTGATTAACTAACAGACCGTCTCAAACTATAATGCATGCACGAGGCCAGGTGGAGTATGACACGTCGCACACACGACGGACTCAAGTCAATGCACTCCAACGCGAGCTCGAACACGCGCGCCATTGACGACTCAACCTGACACATGCACGCGCGCCATGCACCAACATGACGTGGTTTATTCTAACAATATCGGCCATTCTAGCGAACCATTGGGCTCTCGGCGTCGTCTCGCTTGCGAGGCGACGCAAGGGCGACCCAGCCCGGCCGCCGAGCGACGCATCCTTCCCGGCATGCTCGGCCGCTGCTGCCGCGGCTCTGTCGCTAGCGATGGCCGTGGCGGCGGCGGCCAGCGAGCGGCACCCAAAAAGGCTCGCTCCATCCTCCACCGCTCCTTTTCCCAAATCCAAAATCCCTTGTACATCTCTCGATCTGTCAGTGCTTGGGTCATATTCTTGCTTCTGGAGGCCGGATCCGTGCTCCCTCCTCTCCCCTCCTCTTGGTGACCTTCGAACCTCCAGCAACAAGGGCGCCCAACGGCGGTCATGGAGGCCGGCGCAGCTCCGGATCCGTGGCCTAGGGGCCTGGATCTGACGCCCTCTGTCCTCAATCCGACTACGCCGGGGCGCAACATACGGCGGCAAGAAGAAACTGGCCCAGCGATGGATGCCCTGCACTACGTGAAAAACGCTTTGCAGGGGCGGCTGCAGACCCATTTGTAGAGGCGGCGCAGCCAGCCGCCCCTACCATACCGCCTCTACAAATCATGTATTTGTAGGGGTGGTTCCCAGACCGTCCTTATAAATCAATTTGTAGGGGCGGCTGGTGTTACTAGCCGTCCCTACAAATCGATTTGTAGAGGCGGTTGGTACAGTTGTAGGGGTGGCTGATAACACCAGCCGTCTCTGCAAATCGATTTGTAAGGACGACTGTAGTACCAACCGCCCATACAGTACATTTTTCCGCTAAAAATTCAAATTTACAATTAAATTCGACTATAATATATATATAATTCAAATTTGACCAGAACATATATAATTCTCAGGCATACTATAATAATAACCTCAAAAAGTGCGTGAGTAATTTTTATTTTTCCAAGTGAAATTGAGTTCTAACGCTGTAGCTAAAGGCCTGATGACACCAGCCGGCAACCGTCGATGCCATGTCTGATGTCTCGTACTCCTGCCGTCTACCAACTGAACCATGGCAGCACCCTCCGGCCGGCTACAGAGTGCCGAGGCAGCGCCAGTGATCCTCCGTGAAGGCCGCGTCGCAGTGGCGGCACGCGGCCTCGGCAGACACGAGCTGCACGACGGCCGGGGACAGCGGCGCCACGCACAGGCCTCGCCTGCGCAGATCCATCGCGCCGCCATCTTCCTCCCCCGTGTCCTGCCAACCACAGAAGCGATTCAAAGCTTTTAGTTTCGTGTACAAGCGTCGCGTGACAATTCAGTAAGAAGCTGATGCAATGCAACATCTGGCTCACCTGGATCTGCTCGTGGAGATGCTTGATGCAGGTAGCTGCCTCGTGGAGCGCTGATGCCGTATCGGTCTGCACACGCGGGTAGATCTTATTCAGGTTTCAGAGAGACAAACGCTCTTCAGATTGGCGCATGCTATGCATGCAGATCACAAATAGGAATACACAAACAGCATGGGCAGCAAAGGTCGATGAACTGCTGGAGCTTTACCTTGCCATATGGGGAGACGAGCTGCTGAAGCGCCATGATTTTGTCCCCCAGCTTCTGGCTCCTCTTACATGGTGCCTGCACAAAGTATATAATAACCAAAAAAAGGAAAAAAACATTCAGAATACAGAACGTTCAGGTGATGTTGATGTCCGGGATCAGGCAGGCATCGAAGCCAGCCTGCTGTGCATACAAATGGGGTTTACATGTGAACAAAACAACCTCGGTTACCTTCATCATAGATTGATTTCTTGTTGGTTTCGGATTGCACCGTTGGCCGTGCTGTGGACCTTGTGATGTCGCTGGCGTCGTTGTCTTGAGCCTCTTTGATCCCCTGAGACGGCTGCCATCACCGGTCACCGCCTCCCCCGCTGCCGTCCAATTCATCGAGTAGTGCTGACAGAAACAGGCATGTCCAAGACGCAAGCTTAATACTAGAACCATTAGCATGATACTAGAAGGTTTCAACTTGAACAATGTGAAGAGAATCACAAGTGCATACTGACAATCTACAAGGGCCGTCACAACTTGTTATTTCTCGTGAGGATGTGGTCCAAGTAATCAGGCATCCCAGAAGACATTCAAACACGAATAGTTGCATTGCAAGGTAAAGAATAGGCCTGTAAAAGCTAGAAAGGTACATATAAACCAATCTCAACAAAGAAGATCCTAAATTTGATCACTATATATTATATAGGCATAGAAGACAATGAGGACAAATTGAAAATACAGAAGCAATATGTCAGTATCTCAAATGAGAGTAGCATAGAATTGGCAAGAGATTGTTCCCATTTCATAGAATAGAGAAGAGTTTGTTACAGGAACAAACTCATATATACATATGCTAGATGCTACTGATGATCTTCCAATCTAAGTTACTTATGTCAAATACAACAATTCCAGTTTAGCATCTATGCAACTAGGATTTGTCCAGGCTCAAAACTAAGGACCTATGATGCATATGAAGCCATTAGACATTATGTTCAAATGCAAAACAAATAGGGACTTGGAAAAATGGGAAAAATCAATATGGGCAAGAGCTTAATTGAGTTTCAAAATATTTGAATTTGTGTAGAGACAGTGGTATGTCCTTAAAACTCTGGTGTTACTTTACGCGGGCTTTTTATGCAAGTATATATGCATTTTTAAGAAAGTATATTAGCCATTTTATCAGAGCTCCTGTGAAAAAAAATCATACATGGTGCTAACCTGCTAAACAGAGGAAATAGAGCTGTCCCTTGAAGCAGCCAATGGATCTCTGGAATGGAACTGACTAATCAATAAGATAAATCCCAAGAAAATGCACAGTCAGCTGAGACATAGAAAAGCAAGCGAAAAGTTCAACTCTAAACTAAATGCCCATAGCTACAGCCTCTATCATTATGTGTACCCAGCCCCTATCATATTGGATCTCCCAACTGGAATGTAATGTTAGTTGGTAGGTAGCAAACAGATATAACCATGAAGGGCAAAGTTCTGATAGGCTATACTTGCAGCAGCTGCACAAAGTGGGAAGATTAGACAAATGTATGCATGGATATATGTATGTACCATGTAACGCGATCGAAATGCTCTGGTTTCATGTTGCGTTCCTGTTGTCCTGAGGTAAGATAAGTTTTATATTGGTACCAACAATAATCGTATACCTATAATAATTTTCAGGTATTTTGTTCCAATCGCGTTAACATGTAGAGGTGACATTACCGTTGAAAACATATTTAAATTACACATTTCATCTATTACATTGTGTTCTACATGATCTGCCCAAAAATCACAAGAAGTTGTACCCTGATCTAAAGACCCAGAAAATTGTTTTGGAACACAAACTGCAAGAAGCCAATCTTATGGAAAAAGGACATCGGAAGGCACCTGCACACTTCTATCACCGGTACTTTCTCGGCGAACACCTTGAATATGGCACTTGGTCTTCCTCTAAGGCAATGCATCAAACACCTTGAGCGTGACGTGTGGTCCATACATGTGAAGCATCAGCAGTGTCCACCAGCAGGTAGCGAGGAAGACAGCGGAAGTTACAGCCATCAGGATTAGGCATGGTGGTGCAGTAGCGACTTGGGATCTGGATCGTGGTACCTGAGGCTGATGTGGGAGGCAGTTCTTGTGACGACGTTTGGAGGGACAGGGGGAGAGAGGCCGTCGGCGTCTTGTGCGGGGCCCGTCGCGGCCGGAAGCACCAGATCCAGCGTCTGGCGCGAAGCGCCGCCGCCTCGGGATAGCCGCAGTGGGGGCTTGCCAGCCGCCACGCCGGAGGGGGGCGCTGTGGCGTGGCTGCCACGGTCGGGTGCCTGTGGCGCAAGGGCCGGCGGGCTGGCCGCGGCCAATGGCCGGTGCGTCGGGTTCGGCCGTGCCAGGGGGCGCCGCCGCCGGAGGGGAGCCCGTGGGGACGGCCGTTGACGCCGCCGCGGGGGGGTGCGGCCGTGGGGACGGCCGGCGGCGGGGAGGCGAAACCCTAGGCTCCCCCGTTTGCTTCGGGAGGTCGCGTCGAGAGGGAGAGGGAGCGAAGAGGAGAGAAAGAGAGGGCGACGGGCGAGGCAAACCGGCTTAATATATTAGAATTTTATTGTCGGTTCGGTATTTGTAGGGGTGGCCAATGATTCAGCCGCCCCTACAAATGGACACAGTAGGGGCAGCTGGTATTACCAGCCGCCTCTACAAATCCGACCCATTTGTAGGGGCAGCTCGTATCACCAGCCGCCCCTGCTGTTCTATTTATAGGGACGGCTGGTCTCTAGGCTCCCAAAATTTGCCTCGTTGCTACAAAGCATTTTTCATGTAGTGCTGCTCGCTCAGGTACGGGTGCCTTGGCCGACGTCCCCTGCCCTCAATCCGGCTCTGCCAGGGCGTGACTTACGGCGTCAAGAAGATGCTGACCTAGCGGTGGATGCTCTGCTCGCTCAAGTATGGGCGCCTCTCCATCATCTCGGGTCATAGCTGACCGGGACAAGGCTACGGCGGCCAGTCCTTCCGCGGCTGGCTGGAGCTCCGGCTGGCCGGGTCATGGCCGGCTCGTGGGCTGGCCTGCTGCGGCTGCGGCTCTGGCTGGCCAGGGTCGAGCGGTGCGATGACCTGCAGGGGCACGGGCGAGTCCACCAGAGGTGACTTCCAACTGCTGGGCCTCTGCATCCCAGGGCTGTGGGCGGAGGCCTCCGGATCCCAGAGGCTCCCATCCGCCAGGCACTGCCAGCAGGTGGACGCCGCTGCTGGCAGTAGGGCCGTCGGCGCCTGCGTGCCAGGCCGTTGCTGCTAGACCTGCTGCTCTGGCACTGTGCCGGGACGCAGCGGGCGGCGACGACGCGATAGACAAGGGAGCCAGACCCGGAGGTTGCTGCTGTAGGCTGCTACTTCCGGTGGTCCTCCCCCTCCTACTATCGCGAATGCTGCAGGCCACATCCGGCGAGCCAGATCCGACAGATGTGGCGTCTACAAGGCTGGTAGCGCATCTGCAAAAGCTCCGGTACGACTCGTTGCTGTAGGTTCGGCTTGGCGTGTTGCGCTCTGGATGGGCTTCTGCAGGCACTTGAATCTGGGTGAAAATCTGCCTGGATGTTGCTCCGGGCCGGCGTCGATGGCGCAAATGGCGTCATATTCCTTCTGGGAGGCGTCGCTATAGTTTCCACTTCCTTCTTACATGAAGGCCATTCCGAGCTTGACGCATCCGCTGGGCAGGTTTCAGGGCAAAAGCCCTTATGAGCCTGGTGCTTCAATCATCAATGATGGCGTCCGTGGACGTCATTTCCCTTCTTAAAGCATCGACACAAGCATGCCTGTTCTCGGCCGTGCTCGGCACAACCTTCTGGTTGCTCTCCCACACTATCTGGTTGTTGGTCTGGCTACCCTCCTACCCTTTGGCTTCTGCAAACACTACTTACTATCATGTGCTCGACATCAACGACTTGTTTTGTCGTCCTCTAGATCACTTGAGTGCTCCGCCTCATCATATGCTAGGTTACGGGGACCTTGATCGTCTCTTCTCTGGATCTCCTTGTTGTCCTCTTGGCGGTCCTACCCTTTGAGGCTTCCTTCTCCCAAATGGCGTTGGTGGGCGTCGATTGGAGACTAGATACGCTCTAGGTAATGCTACTCACGATTGCCGCGTGTTGGCTTCGACTCGATGCCTCACAGCTTACTGGCTGTCGTCTGTTGGATCCAACTCAATTCCTTACAGCTGCATGTGGGCTAGAGTTCTTCAGAATAAGTCTTTGGTGGTGGGCTGGTGGCACAGGTTAGCAAGTAGTGTTTACACTTGCTACAGTCAGTAGGCAGAGCTGGTAGCTAAATCATGTTATGTTTGTTTTGTTTGTTAAGTGTTGTAATTCTACTCTCTCCCCCTCTCATCGAAGTTATAATTGGCGCCAAGCCAAGCTTTGGGGTCCTTACCCACTACTCACCAGACCCCGTCTGGAATCAATATATTCAGGTGGAGACTTTTCATCCCCCCATGTTGCTTTAAAAAAACAGTTTAAAAGATACTCTACATGTAGGGATCTTACAAATTTAACCATAAGTCACGATTCTGGGTTTATGATCCTACATTTACACTTCCAATATGTAAATGTGCTTAAACTATACTTTAAAAGACTTTTGAAACTCAGAATTGAACTCATTTGAAAACTAGTTTTTATCAAAATTTTGAACTTTTTTTTTAAATATAGCAAATCCTATTCATGGCTTAAATGAATTTGTAATTTGTTTTTTAATAAATTTAATGTAACCAACATGAACGCACCATCTCTAGAAAAAAAAAATTTAGAAATATTTATAAACATTTTTGTTTTGCAATATCGATAACAAACTAACTAAAACTTGACAATTTCATAAATAAAATCATTTTTATGTAGGATTTTTTTTATTTATAACATAAAATGAAAATTTTAAAGCGTGACACGCACCCCACTTCCTGCTGGCCCATCTTGAGCATACAGAGGCTGATTTCGTCGATGAACTGACCGAAGCAAGCAAGCATCTGCTTTCGATGCCAATGGGAAGGAGGACGACCACCAGATCTCATGACTGTGGGAGGAGGACGGCCCTACCTCATTCTCACCTCTCCCTTTCATCTTTCACGCGAGCGGCCACAGAGCAGAGCTCATGACTGCGGGAAGAGAACGGCGCCGGCACAGGCTGCCAAAGCGTGCGCGGCTCCATCAAGCGGCTCCCCACCAGTGCTACGGAAGACGACGTTGCACAGGAGGGCATCATCTCGGCCGCAACGGTGCGGCGGCAAGAGGGTGCGTGCACGGACGTCTACGGGCATAGTATTGCTGGGGAGAGACAGAATTGCACAGGCAGACAAAAACCCAAGCATGCTTCCGATCTCTGCGCGTCAACAGCGTCGTTGTTCCCAAGATGATGGCGAGGGCTCTTGGCCGGTACCTGGTGTGACGACGACATCTGGCCAAAGTAATAGATACCGAGGCCCCCATATCACTGATGGTTAGGGTTCCATTTCAAAAATTTGAGAAAAATTGGACGAAATTCAAGATCTATGGCTTCAGGAATTTTGGTATTCCATCGCAATTGTTCCTAATTTGCTCATCCCCTTATTCTAATTGCTGATTGGATACCCTAGCCCCTAACGACCCCTTAATGTGCATGGATTTGGCATTAACCAATGCTAAAAATAAAGGGCTAATCCGTGAGGGGTCAAAATTGGGCACAGATCATTAATCTGTGACCATAACAATTAACCAAACCTAGGACCTAAACATGCATAATTAAGCATACACAGAGGCACAATTAGCTTAGGGCATGATTGATTAGGGCCTAGACATGATCAACATGGCTAATTAGGGCACTAATTAAGTAATCTGGCCTCAAAATTAACTTAATCTGAGGCATAATCCACACATCAGTGGTCTATGAACGAGATCATCAGGCTCTCTGATACCGCAATATTAGAAAACCAAGGGCTTAACCACATCTCTAATTTAATTACACGAACACAGCTAATCTTAGATTGATTATGGGACAAACCATAGCTAGGGAGATGGGTGGTCTACCATCGGTATTGATCAGTCTGGTGAAGTTGGCCTTGACGAGATTCACTTCTCTTAAACGCTGGTGGGGGAGCAGAGGTCGGAGGATGGTGTTATGGTGGCGTTAGGACAACACCTTATTGATTCAACGTTAGTGAGAATGTTAGAGTAGACTAATCTCTAGGAACCGTGATTGATCTAGAATAAGTGCTATCCCTAATTTTGGTATTGTGTGACAGGGGGCACAACCATCATCCGGTTAGATGGCACTTTCGATCGCAGTGCGTGCTCCCCTGACTAGGCCATATGAACTGGTCTGGACGTTGGCCCATTTCTAAAACCTAGCCTGAGATCACTTTTTCCAATGGTAATAAGAATGTAAGATATACAATAATATTATCTCGCTTGCTTGAGTCTGCTGCGATAATGGTACAGAATGGCACGTACCTGAGGAATAGGTCAGGGGTGTGGGAGGTGGGCGACCACGTGTTCGATCACGTCTTCGACGGGTACGCCACACATAGGCAGATCGAGTCGGACGCATACAAAGCCGCCAGGGCGCATGGCCGTCCGCTCATGCGCGAGTTCTCCCAGTTGTGCCCCAGCGAGCCCGGGACCGTCGTCAATCGCCTCCGCCACGCAGTCAGGCTCGCTAGTGGCGCTGCCATGTCCGACAACGCCAACACCACGGTGCTACCACTCGGGGACGACCGGGTGGTGTGCCTCGCCGACGTCACCAAGAGCTTGGTGCTCATCGACCCGTACTCACTTGGGACGGGCGGCAAGCTCCGATACGTGGACAGCCTGTGGTGCCTGGTGCAGTGTACGCACCCCGGTCGCGACGGCCCGCACCACCGCTGAGGTCTTGATGCTTCTCCCAGACTTCACCCGCGGGGCTACCTTGTGGCCAGGATGCCCGCTGGGAGCAACAGGCGGCAGGTGATCGGGAGGGTGCGGTGCCGGGGAGGGACGATGGCGCCGGCATGCGTGCATTCGTTTGCCGTCACGGAGAAGTACATTGTTGTGCCGGAGATGCCGCTCCGGTACTCGGTCACCCGCATGCTCATGTCCGAGCGCACCCCCCTTATACATACTGGACTGGCTACCAGACTCCGGGAGCTACATGCACGTTGCTTGCAAATCCACTAGAAGAACTGTATGTACGTTGTCATTATGAGTCAGCTGAACATCATGGACGTGTTGGAAATTAATTGGCGCAACAAATAATGGAAGAAATGAGCAAATATCGCGCTTGGCTCGCCATGGCCCGCTCCAGTCGGCTTAGCTGACTACCTGAGTCGGCTAAGCCGACTCTCCCCTACGTTGGCTCGGTCGTGGCGCCTAGAGCCTGAAATAATCGGCTTAGCCGACTCTCTCTACTGTTCCGAGTCGGTTTGGTTTCCAAATTGGTTTTGGATCAATTTTGGACGTGAAAAATTTGGAGAACGCGTTTTAGACTTATTTCCTACTAGGATAAGACCACCCCCTCTATATATATGAGAGGATCACGGCCGATTGAGGATCCCAACTTCAAATCGTCAAATCAATCTATTACAACCCGTTTACCCCTTTTCCTCCCTATCCTACTATTCGTCTCGTCTCGTCTCCTGGTAAGATTTAGCGAGTGTTCTATGCAGCCTTGCTGGTCCTAGAACACCCTCCACGAGCTCCTCCCCGACGGTTCTTCCTTGGAAGAGTTCAAGAGTTTATCAAGCGAGAAGAACGGGCTCAACATCGGTTTAACTGTCTAGATCGATTTAGTCGATCCCACTGCGCCCAAGGTCGTGTGTCGTCAGTGGGCGTGCTAGCCCTTGCTGGTCGCACCTCCATCGTCAACAGAAGCAACATTTTTTTTGTGAATTACAAAGGACAAGGTTTTATGTGTTGATCGTGGGTGTGCTAGCCCTTCTTGGAGTGTGACCAGGAGAACCTTCCGTCGTCAACAGCGGCAACAATTTTTTGAAAATTATACAGTGCAACATAGACACTCATAATGCACACATGATCAGGAGAACCTTCCGCCGTCAAGAGCGGCAACATTTTTTTTGCGAATTATACAGTCGCAGACACTCATAATGCACACATAATCACTCATATGAACGCACGCACGCACGTAAACCACCTATCCCTATAAGCATCTTCAAAAACTGGGCTGACAAATCCTTGAAATTGTCGCCTACCACTGAAAACACAACGCCGTTTAATCGTGAAAAAATCGCTTCCACTGAGACTTTTGTAACCACTAGGCTAGAGACCCTTTCACATCAAAGCAGCAACATAAAAGCAATGTTCTTAAATATTGACTCATGCATTTGTCTAGTTCTAGCATACTCATGAGCTCTTTCTTCGTGGAGTAACGAACCTTTTCTTTCCCCGATAAGAACGTAAGATATCGTAATAACAGATCTTACTTGGTCGAGTCTGCTGTGATGGTACAGAACGGCACGTACCTAAGGAACGGGCCAGGTGTGAGCGTTCGATCACGTCTTCGACGGCTACGGCACATTGGTCCGCGTCTACTTCCACAGGGCGCTCGAGGCCGTGCTACCGGCGCGCACAGGCAGATCGAGTCGGACGCATACAAGGCCGCCATGGCGCACGGCCGTCCGCTCATGCGCGAGTTCTCCCAGCTGTGCCCCAGCGAGCCCGGGACCCTCGTCGACCGCCTCCACCACGTCATCAGGCACGTCAGCGGCGCTGCCACGTCCGACAACGCCAACACCGTGGTGCTGCCGCTCGGGGACGGCCGGGTGGTGTGCCTCGCCGACGTGACCAAGAGCTCGGTGCTCATCGACGCTGAGACGCTCGGGACGGTCGGCAAGTCCCGGTACACGGACAAGCTGTGGTGCCCGTTGAAGTGCACGCACCCGGTCGTGACCCGTGGCGGCGCCGAGGTCTTGACGCTTCTCCCGGACTTCACCCGGCGGGGCTACCTTTTGGCCAGGATGACCGCTGGGAGCAACAGGCGGGAGGTGATCGGGAGCAAGGTTTTCATTTTCGGAAATTAAAATTTATCGGGGCTCACAGATAAAAAAGATAAACAGGATATATCAGAAATATCGGACCAAATTCAAATAAAATTTAATTTGAATTTAAGTAAATTTAAATAAATTTAAATAAAATTTGTATGAAAAAGATAGATATTTTCTTATCGGCACCTACGGATAAAAAGGATATATCGGAAATATCGGGAGATTTCGGCCGATAAAATTTTCCCTGATCGGGAGGGTGCGGTGCCGGGGAGGGACGATGGCGCCAGCATGGGTGCATTCGTTCGCCGTCACGGAGAAGTACGTCGTCATGCTGGAGATGCCGGTCCGGTACTCGCCCGCCCGCATGCTCATGTCCGAGCGCACCCCCTTGTACGTAACGGACTGGCTACCAGACTCCGGAAGCTACATGCACGTCATTTGCAGATCCACTGGAAACACGGTACGTCGTCACTATATACGTACGTGCCAATTAAACTTGTTGGATCTGGATCGGTTAATTAATTTGATGATTTCTTGGTGTTGTGTATATATATCTTGTATAGGTGGCGAGCGTAGAGGTGCCTCCTTTCGTGGCATTTCACTTCATCAACGCATACGAGGAGAAAGGCGACGACGGTGCCCGGGCCAGCGCCGTGATCGCCGACTCTGCGAGTACTACGCTGATCCTGCTATCATCCAGGCACTTGCTCTCCACAAGCTAAGATCGCCGGAGACCGCCAAGGACTTCCCTGATTCAAGGTAATGAGCAGGTGCTGTATCTGTATATCTATCCATGCGTCATATCTTTTGAGAGGTCTCGATCAGGAGCCGGATTTTTGAGAAAATGGGCAGGGTCGCGCGGTTCAGAATACCTCTGGACGGCAGCGCCATGGGCGAGCTGGAGACAGTGCTGGACCCGGACGAGCACGGCCGGGGTGTGGAGTCGAGCACCATCAACCCAGCCTACGTCGGCAAGGAGTACCGCTACTTGTACGCCTGCACCGCGCGCCGGCCATGCAATTTCTTCAACGCGCTCACCAAGATGGACCTCGTGGAAAAGGAGGCCAGGAGCTGGCACGAGGAGGACATGGTGCCATCGGAGCCCTTCTTCGTGGCCAGGCCGGGAGCAACCAACGAAGATGGTGGTCAGTTTAATACTCCCTCCATTCCAAATTATAAGACGTTCTGGCTTTACGATGATCGTTAAACGTCTATGTTCTTGATGGCGTGCAACTTATTGTGCTTTATTTTGACCATGTGGAAAACAAATTCGTGTAGGGGTTGTCATATCAACTGTAAGCACCATGGACGGTGACGGCTATGTGCTACTCCTGGACGCGGCGACGTACAAAGAGATTGCCCGCTTGCGGTTGCCTTACGGCCTACCCTTCGGCTTCCATGGCTGCTGGATCCCAGACAAGAACTGAAGAAATCCTATCCGTATATATCTTCAAGTGCCGCAGTGGCTAGCTAGTGCGCTCATTTAAATTCCAATGCAAGTAAATGTACACTATATGAGTATTTGAACCTCATAATTGTAATTATATTCGTACGTCCTCATAATAATCATCACTCCACAAAATGCTGTTTGTGATAAAATTGAGTGCATGTTCAATGGGCCGTGTCAGCCAGCCCATGGATGCTTCTGGTGGTTCAGATTCCTTTGTTCAATTCACTGTTGCATGGTTTTTCTTCGATACCTTTATTTTATTCTTAGCTAGATTTTCATTGATCCTCACAAATTAAATAGGACAATATTTATTTAACCGTTAACTTCATCGTTTAGAGCATGCTCAATTCGCTCTTAATATTAGCTTACCTAATAGCTTGATAACAAGATTTGTGTTGGTAAATTTGTCATGTATGTAGTGCGCCTAGGTGATCAATCTCGATTAAGCATTGGCAGGTTATATGGTTATTCATTGTAGTCGTTCCCCAGATTTTTATTGAGGTACTAGTATAAGTGAAGGATCAATAATAATGGCAACCAGAAAGAACGGGAGAGGTTGAATGGAAGCCTCCAATTTCCAGAAGGCTTGCATTACAATTTTATCCGACATGCCTCAAACAAATTAATATTATTTGAAAGTAAAAGGACGAGACCAACCTTCTTCAGTCTTCACTGATCGAGTTCCTACTTCCTAATGTATTATAGATTGTACCAACATCAATTAGTTTCATTTACTACTAAAAAATAGACATGTACCATTGGTTCAAAAGACCAAATTACTTTCAGCTTTGTCTTTGCAACCGTATGGTACACATGAAGAAACAATCGTATAAATCATGGACTAAGTGGTACAAACCCTATTTCTACAACTGCTTGCAACAGAAACCTGCAACTATAGTTGCTCATCACTACCGAAAACAGTGGCTTTGCCGTGTGCCACAGACACTCGGCAAAGCCCACAAAACACTCGGCAAAGGCTTTGCCAAGTGTAACACTCAGCAAGTAAAAAAAAAAAAAAGCAACGTGCGTCACGGCACGGGCGCTCGGCAAACGGCCTGGTTTGCCACGGCAAACAAATTAGCGTCTGCACTCCTCGTCAACAGGTCAGCCAGGCTCACCTCCCAGTGGCTCAGAACCGCACCCTGCACCCAACGACAGCGCAACTTGGCCGGGCCCAGGACCACAACACCTCATCAAACAGCTGTGGGTTTCTTCTGCGCCGCGCTACACTTTCTGACGTCCAGAGGACTTGGCACCCCACATGCATTTCGGTGGGCCGGCTTTGACATGGGCTCAAACAAACTCGCCCTTATACCCAACTCGTTAGCCCACCTAAGCTGGAGTAACAGGCGCTCGCAGCTGTGGCTGGCAGGCACGCGCGCTGAGGTGCGGCACTTTAAGTTGGTTGTCTCGACGTTCGGGAAGCAGTATGGTGCTAATGTGGGAGCAAAAACAAACGCTGCGCTCGGGTGTTTGTTGATTTGTTTTGCTGCTCGGCTGCTCCATAGCGTGAGAAGTCCATCTTAGATGGGCCGGTTGGCCTCCTGCATGACCCACAGTGGCGTCACACTCCCACAAAGAGACCCATACGAAGACGCTTTGCCGAGTGTCGGATCGGGGCACTCGGCAAAGATGGACTTTGTCGAGTGTCAGATGAGGCACTCGGCAAACCCCATTTTTTTTCTTCTTTTTCTTCTTTTCCATAACGTGTTTTCCTTTTTTTCCGATGTACTTTGAAAATATCCTGTTAAATTGACTCAACAATATCTATTTGATTTTTCTACTAATATTATTTCATTATTTTATGCAGTTACAACTCAAATTTAATTTGTATCAATTAAAATTCTATAATTACACTTAATAAATTAAAATTATCAAACGGATCCAAAAATTTACCAAAATTTCACATAAAACAATCTATGTTCTCTATTGCCTATACAAAAAGTTTTGAAGCCAAACCCTAATTCAACCGTCACTTTGACTCCAAATCTTACAGGATCCTTCTCAACGCTACGATTATTTTTCTAAGATGCTTCGGTTTGTAAACATCGTACGTGACAAATTGTGCGAAACCTTCTCAAGTTTTTACCATAGCCTCCATGTATGATATCATCACATGACAAATCTCATGATTTTCAGACTTCGTTTGCTTTTTTTAGAATTTAAAAACCAATCGGCCACACGTTCGTGGTTGTGTTTTCTGAACAAGATGCTCGAAATTTCTTTTCATTTTCCGGGTAAGGGCTCACACTGGACTCAATAACATGAATATCATTTTTCTACTCATTTTATTCTATTATTTGAATCACTTGCAGTTCAAATTTGACTTATACCAAAAAATTCCTATAAAAACAATAAATTAATTAAATATAACAAACAGATCCAGAAATATACCAAATTTTAACATGGAATACCACATGTTGTATGTGGAGAGTAGAAAAAGTTTCAAGGTCAGAAGAGAAAAAAAATGAAATTATTTGCCGAGTGCCAAATAATTACACTCGGCAAACATATTTCTTTGCCGAGTGCCAGACAATTATACTCGGCAAACATATTTCTTTGCCGATGGCCTAGTTTTGCCTAGTGTTTTTTCTAGTTTGCCGAGTGTTGAACTTTGCTGAGTGTTTTTTGCCTCGTTTGCTAAGTGCAATTATTTTGCCGAGTGTTTTTTTTTCAGCACTCGACATAGAGCTTGTTTGCCGAGTGTCCGATAGATTGCACTCGGCAAAACATCTTGCACTCGGCTTACCTTGTGTTTTCGGTAGTGCATGATCATTACCTATGACTTCCACAGGCTAATCAGAGACTTTTGCAGCTCAGCAGTGGACTTGAGGAGCATCAATTCCTCACACATAGCCTTGATCTCCAAAAAGAGTAACCCAGAGAGGGCAGATGATTACAGACCCATTTCTCTACTTAATTACTCTGTTAAGCGCATCACCAAAATCCTGTCAGGGAGGCTCCAGTCAGTTATCCTCCAGACAGTGCACTCTAATCAATATGGATTTATCAAGGGAAGAACTATATCAAGGACTGTCTTGCTTGGGCTTTCCAATTCCTCCACCTCTGTCATCGCTCAAAAAAAGAAGCGGTCATCTTGAAGCTTGACTTTGAAAAGGCATTTGATAAGGTAGAGCATCAAGCCATCCTTGAGATCCTAAGGCACAGAGGCTTCTCTGAAAGATGGACTGGTTGGATTCAAAATATTATGAACTCTGGAGAATCCTCAGTGCTCTTTAATAACATCCTAGGAAGAGTTTCAAATGTCTAAGAGGAGTAAGGCAAGGGGATCCCCTCTCTCCTCTCCTCTTTGTCCTAGATGCTGATCTTCTTCAAACCATTGTGAATAAAGCTTGGCAGAATGGCACTTTGAAGCACCCTTTAAGTGATAGCTTTGGGGGAGGGGGGATTTTCCAATAATCCAGTTTGCAAATGATACCCTCCTAATCCTTCCAGCAGAGGCAAAAACTCTCTTCAATCTGAAAAGCAGTCTAAATTCTTTTTTAGACTCTACTTTCTGTTTTTTTGACTTCGGGTTGCTGGCTTTTTGCAATTTACCTTTGTGATAAATTTAGCCCATCAAGAGCCAGAAAATTTTCTCTTAACGTGCTTTTCACCTTTTAGCTTATTTTGTTGTCAGCTTTCTAGCTTTTCTAAAAACAAGCTCAACAGCAGGGATGCTTGTTCTGGCTAGCAAAAGCTCAGCAAAAAACTAAAACAAAACAGGCCTTAATAATAACTTTTCTAAAATTGATAATAGTCTATCTAGATTCTTCCATCGTCTTCTTCACCAGTGACTTTCCTCGATCCAACTGATGCTCTAGATCAACAAAGCCGTGTTGAATGCCGGAACCGAAGTGTAGTCCTTATGCGGAATCCAATGACCAACCCAAAACATTGAACATGTCGCAAGATCCGACGTTTCAGAACCACTCCAAAACGCATTTGAATTGGTGAAAGAATGTCGGCAGTTGCATATATGGATATGCCGAGAAACTGAAACAATAATTCACAGTGCGCACAATACAGAACAGCAGATGCATAGCATATGTCCTCAAAAAAGAAGATGAGAACAACGCCAACAAGCAAGAAACTGGCACTATCCCTCGAGAAGGGGAAAAAAAGAAACTGGCACTATAGATGCATGCGCAGCAGAGATACACGGACGGTAACATCAGTGAAGACACAAGTAATAATGAGATTGAGGATTGGAATGAGGATAACATGCAGTCAGCTAGATTTGACGCCTGAGAATGTCGTCCAAGCAAGCCGGCCACGAAACACGAGTAGTGATAGCTTGATTTGGTGGAGACGGAGACGGAGTAGATCAGCTCAAACCTTTCCGGCCGGCCGGCGACGAGGTCACGAGTCTAGCTAGCTAGCTAGCCGCTCTGCTGGAGCCTGTGGAGCAACGCGGCGCGGAGGCAGCGCTCGTCTCGCAGCCCGGCGGGCACGTCGACGACGGCGTCCTGCACGGTCATGCCGCCCACCCTGCACACGCACGCGTGCTGCACCTGCAGATCCAGCGAGCGCAGCGCGAGCATGAGGTGCGCCGGCGCGTGGCACGCCGCGGTCGTCGTCAGGCGCAGGGCCGCCGCGTCCAGCCCGGCGACCATCCGCACCTCCAGCCCCAGCTTCTCCTGGAGGAGGCCGAGGCCGAACGAGTGGGTGGCCGCCGCGGCCGCGGTGGTGACAGCGGCCGAAGCGGCGGTGGCCTGCTTGGCCTCGGCCTCGAGCTGCTCGACGCGGTCGCGCAGCTCGCCGATGTAGGCGGCGGCGTCCGCGAGGAGGGACGCCTTGTTCATCCTGGACACCGTGGGCACGGCGGCCCTGAGATCGCAGAAGCGGCGGTTTAGCTTGTCCCGCCGCTGCCGCTCGGCCTCCACGTGGCTGATGGTGGGGCCGTTGGTCCGGGGCCCGGGCTTCCGGCCACGCCGCTTCGGCGCAGGCGCCGGCGGCGGTTCACCGGATCCGGAT